ATGGAAAATGATAGATCGTGGCTCCACCTTTGATCTCCAGTGTTGGCCATTAGGATCAGCTTTAAACCAAATGTAGCATTTCGAAGTCATGCTAAGAATAGTATTACTCAGGAACTAGTCAGTAACATGTGCATGGTGGTACATACACACATCGCCCCTCCCCCCCCCCAATGAAGGATGCAAGCATCCTTCCGAGCACTCTACTGATGGGCACATACCCAATATTGTATTAAAGTTGGAAATTTCTTCTCAAGCTGATGGCTTACGTTTTCACAAGTGCTCGGAACCTTCCAGGAATGAACGAAGATAAACTCTTCTCTCCCAATAGATCCCACCCGAGTGATGGAAATATCTTTGTTGTGCCACACCACCTTGCTTGGTATTCTCCTTATGTTTGAAACGTGATTATTTGATCATCAAACTTACCCGTGCGAGAGAGTGTTTGTTGCCAAGTTAAGTGCAATTCTCCAAAGCAAGTTACGCTCCTAATTTGTTTTCCATTGTTTCTGGTTTGTGAGGGAGAAGAATTGGATAGCAACATTAAATCCCTCGTATAAGTTTAAACAAGAAATAAATAATTACTATTTAATGTAACCATGAAAGACATAAGTTGGGCGCATGACCAATTCTCTTCATTAAAAATTAAACCAGAGATACAGCCATAACCACTCAACCATGGGTGCTACTGGGTCTAAATGTACCAATGCTATTTTGAAGTGGTAACCAAGCAAGCGTCATTCCCCAAAATTGTGATTGCTAACCTAGTCAGAACGTGACAGTAGTATGTTGAACATCTAAAGACAAATCCTCACTAAGCACTTAAACACTGAGATGGTAAGCTAAAATCAAAATGCAATGAATTAACCAATGCAGCAAAAATCAAAATCAAAATAATCAATGAAATTCTAACGCTACCAGTAAAACAGGGAAGCATGAACAAGAAGCTGAAAAAATCAAAACAGTAGCAGAAATTCGCTGCGAATTTCATCACATAGAGCTCCCTAATGCAGGAAGAACGTCAAGACAGTAACAGAAAAAGAGATTAACCTCGAAATTTTATCAAAAACTCAAAAAGAATTAAAAACGAAGAAAATTGATAGTGAATGGAAGGAAGAAAGAGACACCGTACCTTCAGTTCTGCAAAACCAAGAAACACAACAAGAATCATAGACAGGTGAAAATTCTAGCTTCAGAGTTTCCACAAAAGCCTCGTTTTCCAGGGTTTCGAAAACCTAAATCAGCAGCGAAAATGTGAGAGAGAGAGAGAGAGAGAGAGAGAGAGAGAGAGAGATGAATAACGAGTGCAGAGCGCGAAATAGAGAGAGGGAGAGAGGGAGAGAGAGAGAGAGCGTGTGTGTGTGTGTCCGTTTTAACGGGGTTAAAAAAGACGGCAACGAAAGCGACAATTGTTCAGATTTCAAAATCAGAACAGATTAATGGCAATCTAGGTAAATAATCACAAAATCTGGGGGCAATTTGATGTGTACGAAACTTCAGATTTGCTTAGAATAGAATGTGGAGATCGTAGCTGAGAATACGGAACGAAAAAAGCTGGGAAGGTGGTTTCTCCAGCCAACACGTGTCAAGAATAGACTAGATGTCAGAGTCTTGAGCAGTTCCCGAAATCGTCCAGCGTCAACCGTCTTCTGGGTAGCGTCTACTGTGAGATGGAATCCGCTACGCCCGTCGGTTTCGCCTTGGATTATAACCGTCAAATACGGCCTTCGATGTACTGTATGGCCCACCTTGACGTCACTCCAAGATGGGGCCACAGCAATACATCAAGGGCCGTGATTACGGTTTTAGCCTCGAGGCCACGCCAATGGGCGTAGCAGATTTTTCCCTGAGACGTGTCCAAATTTGCAACAAACACGGGATTTATTAATGTTGATGGTAGTATTGTGACAGAGAAATAAATGATGATGGTACTTAAGTCAACTCTTTTGGTGGGTGGACCCCTCAATGTGTTCATTGTATTGGAAAGGCTGAGGCTATATAGCCTTTTTGTGGGCTCCACATCCTCCGCCTGATTCAGGGCGCCTCACAACCTTTGAGGCTCGACCAGAATCTACAGACCTTACACCTCTAAGGGGATCTGCTTCTCACACATTAGATACATCCGCCGTGCATTAAAAATATCTCCTATGAATAATAATACATAAGTACGAAAAATGTTTTCAATGCATGGTCGGAGAAGATCCAATCTCCTGATAGTGCTTTGTAGGGTTGTTACCTGACAATTTCGGGTCGAGTCGGGTTTTCGGGTTGGGTTAACACAGGCTAAATCCTAACTCTCAATATTATGTTAGAGTTGGCCAATAGGCCGGACAGGTCAGTGGTTCAGTTGGTCTTTGACTATCAATGATTTTTTACCAAAAATAGAGATTCAAGCATCCCGTTCTAATAATTTGAGTTTCAACTGTCCGGATCAACACCGATTCGAAAGCATTGGTTTAAAAACGGGTGAGCAGACAGTGACCCATAACCCGGAAATCCGAATTGTTCTGGGTCGGGCGCCTGCTAGGTCGGGTCACTAGATAGGAGACCCTAACCCACTTTTTGGGTTGATTGGTTTTTGGGTTCATTGGGATTTGGTTCACTGGTTAGGTCAATGTTTTTGTCAAGCATTTCTGTTTTGAATTTGAATTAGCTATACGCCATGTTTGTAGAATTAGCTATACGCCATGTTTTTGTCAATCTGGCCCCATTGTGAATGGTGTTAGCCCATATATTTTATTACCGACATGAAACTTTATCATTGGTTCAACAGCTAGCCAAACAATCATTGCGTTCAACCAAACCTTGGCCTTCCGTTTTGGGGGTGCTAATGATTTAGTTAATCGAACCATGAGTTTTTTTTTTTTTTTTTCAAACCGAACTGGTGGTACAGGTTTTTGAAAATTCGGTAAATCAAAATCAAACCGAATTTAATCAGTTAATCGATCGATCGGTTAAATTAATCGCTGGTTCAATTCATAGATTTTTCAATTTTTATAATATAATATATAATAAAATATTATATTGTATTATAAATAATAATACATTATTTATTATAAATATATATTTATAATATATGGATAATATATATATATATATGAAAATATATATATATATATGAAAATATATATATATTACATAAATATGTATATAATATATAAATATATGTATAGCGGTCCATTCAGTTAACTATCGATTTTTAATATTGGTTAACCAAAATCAAACTGGTACCTTTGGTTTTTCCAAAATACCAAATGAGTGGTTCAACTAATTAGAATTTTCAGTTTAATTTCACTGGTTTTGCTCAATTTTTCAGTTTTTTTGCACCCTTACTTTTGTTCACAACAAAATACTTTCTGACAAGTTCTGATGTTAAGGGTGGACCAATCCTCACAAAATTGTGCTCACACCATTCACATTCCTTTTCAGTCATGTATAGGAATATCTCCATACTTATATTTTTTATTCATGGGGAGATATTCACAATGCACAGTTGAAAAGGGTTGTGAGAACAGTATGAGCACAATTTTATGAGCACCAATTCTTCTAATTAGGGATGGCAACAGAGAGGGTTTTGTAAATTCTAGACTCTATAAGCCTCCCCTAAACCTCTCTACTCGTAGCGGGTTGGATTTTGAGAATCCAAACCCATATTATATATGAAAATGCAAGATCCTCCCTCACTCTACCCTCCCCTCTCATTCATGGGAATGAGTGGGTTGGATTTAAAAGCCACATCTAATTTCCTATTATTTATCATCATATATAAGCAATAAATAAGTAAAGCAACACAAATAAACAACAAATTTTCTAATTATTTGATTAAGACATGTAGAAATACATAAACTATCAATTATCCTTCATATAAAATTCAAAATATTATTAAATTCAACACCTAGTACATAAAGTATACATGCTTTTCAACAATATGCAAACCAGAGAAGATTAGATTTTGCCTAATACCATACTTTATGATGTAGGGTGATTTGACCCGACCTAATAATAGGGGGACACGTTGACACGACCTAAATGACAGGATGACAGCTCATCCCGATGTATCAAGTCTGCAACGGACCGAGCTCAGATAATCGAACCACCTCGGGACAAGTCCACCTCGGAGCAAGTTCACTTCGGAACACGATTGCATCAAGATTACCTCGGTTTCAAGGCACTTTGGCATTCGTATCAGGTCGGATCCATAGGGCACTAGCTCAGGTAATATTGAGCAACCTTTACACAACAACCCCGAAGATCCTGCCACCAGATTCCACGCTTTACGGGATCACGCCTTGTAATAGCTAGCCTTATCTCCTCCGACCGATTCGAGCAGTAGCGATATGCCTTATTAGCTAGCGGCGTTATCTCCTGTTAATACGGAAACGGGCCTCATCATAGCGAGAATCCCGGAACCTCTCCGAAGAACCTGCAAGGACTCCAATATATAAAGACCCCAACCCTCCGGGGGCAAAGGTACGTGTAATCTTTGCTTACTAGCTCTCTTGCTTTCTAAACTACCTCCAGCTCGCAAATTACTGACTTAAGCATCGGAGCGACCTCGTCGGGTAAGCACCCCCGGGTTTCTGATTCTCTCTATGCAGATTAGCCAACTCTGTCGTTTACTGGAAGCTAAGTCATCTCCAGCTAGGAGCAGCCAGATTGCGTCGCATCACTCTACCTATACCCATACTCATATGGGTTGTAGAAACCCAAAACCCATCATTCAAGCAAGAAAAAATTGCCCCATTATAAAGGACAAGGGCAAGTTCCTATAGGGTAGAAATTGCCATTCCTACTATTTTTGATGTTGGAAAAGTATTTTATTGGGAGAAGATCGGCCCATTGGGCTTGGGCTATACTAGGCCCTCTTCTTCTATCACCATATGAGCTCTTAACAAAATTCGAGAAAACCGGATCTGCTCTTCACACAGGGCGCCTCACATGCACATCGTATTCACGGGAGATGTTCCCTGCACGGTGGATGTGCATGTGTTTCGAGGCCAAACTATAAAGCTTATTTGACAATTGGGCATTTGGGCAATTGGGCTATAGCTCATTACCCATAAGGCATCTCGTGTCTTACTCGAACTCTGATTTCCTTTTTCTCTTGCTCGTTTAATCCCTCTCGAACTCTGATTTCCTTTTTCTCTCTCGTTCCCTTTCTTCCTCGCATAGAAATTTCTAAAAATCTCCGATGGATGCGCCATTATCTGCTTATATACACACCCATCGGTTTTCTTTTTTTTCCCACCGAATTCCTCAGTCTCAGCAACCCTGTTTCCAACCCACGACGAGTCGACGACAATGGGTAAACGCATTAGTCAACGTAAAAGCGCGTCATTGTTCGAAAGTGAAGAAGACGACACCTTGAGCCCTTCGTCGACAACGACTTACGACGACACGCAGGAGCAGGAGTTTGATGACTCGGGATTGGAAAAATATCTCGATGATTTGTACGAGAAAAGGGGATCCACGCAACAATCGGCTCTATCGTTCACCATCGATGCTTTTATCAGTAGGTTGCAGCATCAATTCGTTGAAAACAACTGCATTACTTTGCTGCACCAGTGCCTCAATTCAATCAAGAAGGGGTCCAGCAAGGAGATTTCCTTAGCCTGTCGTGTTATCGGATTGCTGGCTCTCACCGTTGGTCGTGGCAACGGTGCAGCGCATGAAATCTTGGAAGATTCAATCACTCCCCTTTCCCAAGCTCTGATATCTGGATCTGGATCTGATTCATTGAAGATATCATCCATACTGGACTGTTTGGCTGTAGTCACCTTCGTTGGCGGAGATGATGATCCAGAGGAGATTAAAAGATCGCTGCAAATTATGTGGCAGTTTATTCATTCCAAGTCAGGTCCCAACGTGAATGCCTCCAAACCTCCAGTGGCTGTACTAACTGCTGCAATATCTGCTTGGTCGTTTCTTCTTACAGCCATTACTGGATTGAGGATTAATTCAGAAATCTGGCAACATTCACTTACCCGTTTCTCACGTCTTCTTGATAAGCATGATCGATCAATTCGCGTTGCATCGGGTGAAGCCATAGCTCTTATTTTTGAGATTGGACAACAAGAGAAGTTGTCTGCAAGTGCACAAATGCAAGGATTGAGGGTTAAGATCTTGAATCAAGTGAGAGACCTTTCTGTGGAGACAGGTGGTAAAGGTTAATCTAAGAAAGATCTCAACACCCAGAAGAACTTGTTCAAGAACATCACTGAATTTCTTAAGGATGGTTACTGCCCAGAAACGTCAAGGAAGATCGGTGCAGATGAACTGAACACTTCAACTTGGTGTCAGCTGATACAGTTGAACTTTCTGAAGCGATTTTTGGGGGGAGATGGGTTTTTCAAGCACATGCAGGAGAATGAATTGCTGCAGGAAGTGTTCGACTTCAGTCCAAGGGGATAGGATTTAGGAGCTGAGCATCTGATGAGAGAGAGGAGGATGTACAAATCCCCAAATTCTGTCGCCAACAAGGCGAGGGCAAAGTTTTTGAACAAGCAGCGAATGATATCTCGGGAGGAGAAGGTGGGGTACTTCGCTGTTGGCGTTGGAAGCCAATAATGAAATCAGTACTGGAGATGTCAAAGGAAAGCGAAATCAGATCACCAGCACGTTCCAACCCTCTACCAACATCATCTTACACTGCACATTTTCTATCGGCCATACTATTATTTTGTGGTTTTAACTTTTAACCACGCCATAGGGATTTTATTAATTATTTATAATTAATATTTGTTCTCTTATTTATATCTTTGTATTATGTTTATTTTTTAATCATTATTAATTTTTGTGAATTCATCCAGTAATTTTTTCTTAATTAATTTTTCTTATAGATAATTAATATTAATTCATGTTAATCATGGTGAAATTGTATTTTTGGTTGGAATTATTTATTTTGCTTAAAAAATAAAAAGTATCTTATTCTTAATCAACAGTATAAATCATCTCATATGACATACGTGAGATACATGAAATCGAAACACGGGGTATAGACTAAACCACATTTAATCCACCCATTTTTGTCTATAATGCAAAACACCTATTCTATTGTGGCGTAGTGTTGATACATAGATGAGAACGCATGCATCCAATTTCACATCCACATTACAGAATACAAAAAACCAGTAGTGTGGATGAGAACACATGCACCAAAATCAGTAGTGTGCATAAGAACATATGCACCAAAACTGGTAACCTCGGTTCGGTTTCAAAAATTAACCCACAGTTCAGTTAATCAAACTGTGAGCACCCTAGTGGGTATGTGTGGATAGCATATTTATAGGTAATACTAATAAATAAATTAACTTTAGACATAGGTTCTGTTTGCATATGTGTCACTTTTAAAAATATTTTACCAAAAACAAACTCCCAATCAGCATGCATCTCCACCAAAAAAGCTTTTGTGTTTTTTCAAAAAAAAAGTGTGTAATTAGGGGTCTAATCTTCCTGGTTCTTCTTGTGAATTAACGTTCATGAAACACATTGGTCCCAAACAACCCTACAAAGGCTTGGTTTGTTTGTAGTGCATACTGCAATTTCGGATCCTACTTGGGGTAATGTTTGAACACGTGGACAATTCCTTATTAAGTGAGGACAAATGTCATGGGTCCTGACCTCTAAACATAATACTACACGTGGCAATTTCTTATGGCCCCCCCCCCCCAAATATCAAAGTAAAGCTGGCTTGAAAGTTGCTCCATCTCCGATGGACAATTCACTTTTAACCACATTCAATTTTATGCTGCATCATCTCATCTGCACTCACCCTAGTGTCTAGTGATTTTGTTTGTGCATAGCCAATCAACTGACCCCCCACAGAGTTAAAAACTTCAATTCAAGCTAATACATTTGTGGTTGGGATTGGGTATGGTGTAGTGTGCTAGATCAATAAATGGCCTACTCATTTATGAAACCTGACGTTGAAACTGTAATAATTGTTTTAAGAGATGAATTGAAGTTGATGATATTTTCTTGGTGGTAATATCTGAATGCAAAAAAAAAAAAAAAAAAAAATGTTGTTCTAAAACCTAAATGTTAAGTTCTGAAAATAACAATTGGAGGAGATGTTTGTTTAATTATATAAGTATTTAATAAAGTAATTAACATTTAATTAAATGATTATAAAATGATTAATAAAGAGTGAAAGCGATTAAAAATTATAACTAATTAAAAAGAATAGTAAAATATTCAAAAATAACTAAAAGTATTAAATGAATAAAAAACTGCAAATTAATAAATTTTGTATTAAAATAAGTAAATAATACAATATTTAATTATCAAATAATTATTAGTATAACTTAATTAATTAATTTAATAATAATAACTAAACTAATTATTTAATAATGAATAATTAAAATGGCTATATTAATTACATTAATTAATAAATAATTATTGATTATAATTATTAAAATAATTAAAATATAAAAAAATAAACATTTTAGTATGTTAATAACCTTTCTTGTTATATTTTCATAATAACTTACTTTATATTAACCATACCTATGTAGAATACAAGCATGATTGTAATATCCAAGGGCAAAAGAGGAATCAACTTTTACAATTTAATTAAATGGTGGGCAATGTTCATACAGATCTCGAGCGTTCAACTTTACGCTAACTAAACGAGCTCGCAAGGAATTTGAAGGGGATCTATCTTCGGTCAATGCTTTTGAGAAATCAGGTAGGTGTGGGAAGAATGTTATTGTCTTAGAAGTGGTAATTGACAAATGCGTGGTGTCTTCTTTGGGGAGTAGATCTTTTTATGGGTTGGGTAGTCCGAAGGGATGGCCCAGCCTAGCCATAGGCTCAGTCTCACGTGGTGTCTTCTTTGGGGTGTAAATCTGTTCATGGGTCAAGTAGCCAATGGGCCGGCCTAACCTGGCCTTTTATTCAGGCTAGGACAAAATTTCAAGCCTACAGGCTTGGGCTTGAACTTTAAATACTAGGCCTAACTATTTTTAGGGCTAGGCTTGGGCTTTATCAAATAAGCCTAGCCCAGGCCCAAGCCCAAGCCTATAATAAAAATATACATTAGTTATATATAATAAATAAATATAATATATATTTATCTCCTCCCATATATTGTAATGACACAACAAACTTTTCATATGAAGTAGCAATGTTGAACACCTTGAAGAGCAATACCAACTATGTGATCCTTATAACAATCCAATACGACAGGAGATAATTAAGATACTACCTCATCCGGTTTGGGAATTATATGGGTTCCCAAAGAAGTAAGGAGATGAATGAACCGGTGATTCAAAGAATTAGAAGTTAAAGGTTGGACAATTGGCCTTCACATTACCTTTCTATCAGGATCTAAGGACAGTGCCTATAGCTAGGTCTTGGGACTCTATTGGCATTGGTACAGAGGTTTTTATGAACCCTAATCAAGTTATGGAATGGACTATCAATGGCTTTAGTATCTTGATTCGTCTAAGGTGACATGATTAGTAGTTTTTCCTTTTTTTCCTTTTATTATTTTTCTAAATGGTCTATGGACTAAGTTGTAAGTTTGACAAATGTATAAAATTTTGAAATTTTATTTTTCTGGTTAAATTCAATTCTTTCATTTTATTTATTTGGTTGTTTATAACGAAGTTGATAAGCGACCAAAAAGTTTTGTCCATTGCTTTAATTATATGATTGCCAGCTACTCGTATAAAATCTTCAAATGGTTTTCCAATGGCCAACCTAGTCTACTCCTTATGGATTGATTTGGCTCCTTTTGATGGATCCAATCCTTATTGGTCTAGAAAAAAAGAAGCAAAGAAAGGAATGAAAAGGAAATGAGATTTACTTAGGTTTGGTTTAGTGGTTTATGATCCCCCTTTCATTTCCTTTCTTTTTTCTAATCCTTTTTTGTCACTAATTAATTTGGGTTAACATAATATACTCTATCTTCTCTCTTTCTTGGTTTATGATGTTTTGTTTGAATCTTCTATTATAGGTGAGCTTAAGATATTCCTCTATTTCCTTAGTATGCCTTCTTTGTAATACTTGGAGGAATGATTTATTAGAATGGGAAAAATGGATTTCCATCAAATTATATTTTGATTATGTGATGCCATTTCTATGGTTAATTGATGGTGTTAAATTACCGATATCTCATTAAGAATCTCTATATTGTTTTGGAGGAAACTTCTTTTTTCCAATATCCATGCATTGATGTAGAAGTTAAAACCTTTGTACTTGGTCATTCTTACAATTCACATAAGAAGTAATCCATTTTTGTTAGGGGTGCTCATAGTTTCTGAAAAACTGGTAACCGAAGCGGATCGATTAACCGGTTGACTGGTTCAGTTTGTCAACTTTATAGTTTTTATATTTATACATATTATAAACAGATATTTAATAAAAAAATAGAAATGGATATAAAATATTATATTTGAAATAAGAAATAATATATCATATATGAATATATATAATATACACAAATATACATATAATATATATAAATATAAGTATATCGATCGATTCGATTAATTGGAATTTTTGGTTCGGTCTAATCAGTTCGGTTCAATTTTTTGATTTCACCCCTATTTTTTGTAAGCAAAACAATAGATAAAACAAAAGGTGGTTATAATGAGTTGTTGGGAGCCGAGTTGGGAAATTTAGTTGAAGCAAAGGAAATAGTTGTTAACCCTACTCATGTATATTATGATTTAGGTTGGCCATTTAGTGGTATGTTCTTATTGAGTACTTTTGAAAATGAGAATGGGACATCTATTTATTTTGGACCTTTAATAGTTAATAGAAAGAAATTTTAACAAGAATAAATAGGGTTGTAAACGGTTCGGGTCTGGTTTACTAAAACCGATAATACCATAATCGAACCAGACCTGATCAGTTCTATTATTTCGTAATTGGTACCAAACTGATAGGTAATCAGGACAATCGGGTCTAACCTGATTAAATAAAAATCCATACTTAAGATGGTAAGACCTATAATTTTTTATAAGAAAAGAACATTTTGCTCGATAGTTGACAAAAAAAAAAAGGTCTTTTATCAGTAGATGTGAATAATCTTACCCATTAATAAAAATGATAATGGTTATCGTCAAAAGATCTTGATTTTATACTTCCACTTTTACCCTTGTTATTAAAATATATTTCCATTTTTATCCCTTGTCAAAACATCAAAACACCCTCAGAAAAAATCGGTTTATACATGTTAAAACAACTGTAGAATGGGTGAACATGAGAGCTAAAGATTTTTCTTTTGGACACTTGTTGCCAATGGAACACAAAGTGTTCTTTTGTTTTAATTTTGATAAAGGGCTGATTATGCCAAGAAGTTTCAATCGGTTTTGTCGGAAAGCATGGTTGAACGATTGCTGGTCAGGTAGGACAAATAAGATGCCATTAACGTGGTTTCGGCATTCCAACAATGTAATTAATCTAGTAAGTAAAGTACTTCTACCTACTGTATTTTTAATTTTAATTATAATTTTTTTTCTAAAACTAAAGGATGTTGTAGAACCCATCGGACTAAATTTAGTCATGCATGTTCTTTTTTTCTTAAACAAGTTCAGTTTAAATGCAAGACATTTTCCTTTCGGTTCTAATGGCACTCTTTTTAGAAGACAAACTTTATATTCTAAGTGATGATGCGCGACCTAGTCACTCCTAGCCGGAAGTGGCTGTGCTCCTAGCTGGTGACGGATAAGACACCTGTGAGGAGGAAGATGAAGGATC